GAGTTAGGTGGCTGGATGTAAAGGGTGATGTGATCGTAGATGTTGTCTGACAGCCATGACTAGCTCCTCCTGATTGCATGGTATGTTTACGAGTCCTGTTCGTAGATATAGGGTCATAAAGCAGCCATTCCATTTGATCCAGGGAAGCACTACCTCTTCAAGGTACTTGATGTAGGACTTCGTGTTGAGATTGAGGCTCTCACCAACAAATTCCGGAGTTCTTTTCTTATCAGCATTACAGCATGCCGTTTCCAAATTTCCGGGGGGGAATTGCGTCATGGTTCATTTTTCTTCGCAGACGGTGCCCAAATGACCCTACTATACTGGGCCATCGACAAAATCAAAATCAAAGAAAACACATGCGCGAAATTAAAACTATAGAATAGCGACAACGTACATAATATCGTATATATATATATATATATATATATATATATATATATATATATATATATATATATATATATTATAAACAGTATTAATAACATTTACCGGCCTGAATGTCCGAGAAATCTTCATAGAAAATATGCGTCCTCCGACAGAATCGAACCAGTATCCTATACGGAACCGTCATATAGCTTGACGTGCCTTAATATTAATTCAGGCCGGTAAATGTTGTTTAATACTGTTTATTATAAACAGAGCATTTACATAAATATTTGTATCTATAAAAAAGAACGTATAAAAAATAAAAAATGTCTTAAATAATTGTCAGACTTTGTCCATTTCATAATGTATCTATATATATATATATATATATATATATATATATATATATATATATATATATATATATATATAAAAATATAGTTTTAAGGTGTGTTATATTTATGGGATAAAGTGCTCAATATCAGAGAAATATAGAAGTAAACATTGAAGTCAACAATCGGAGGCGACAGGCTGTTTCATGCCAAGTGCAATCGTCATGAAATAGCCTGTCGCCTCCCTGTGTTTACTTTTTATATTTACATACATGCATATATATATATATATATATATATATATATATATATATATATATATATATATGCATGCACATATAAAATTCATTCTCTCCCTCTTTCTCTCTATACAAAATATATAGATACAAAATATATAGATACAATTCAATTTGTTAATGAATTCTATGTCTGTCTGTCTCTTTCTCACTCTTTTCTCTCTCTCTCTCTCCTATATATATATATATATATATATATATATATATATATATATATATATATATATACAGGGTGTCCATAAATTTCGTGTGCACTTTAAAAAATTTATAACTTTATTTGTATTTGCGAAAAAGGATTAGAAAGAAGTAAATCTATATTTTTCTTACGGTTTATTAAAATTTTATTTAAGTTTCCACGTGTCCTCCATCATTAGCAATACAAAGCGTAATACGATTTTGCAGTTCACGGAAAACATTTGTCAAATGATTTGCAGTAATGCCTGAAATCACATTAGTTATTTTAGCTATACTTAAAACTAGGAACATTAAACTTGATAACACTTTTTACAGATTATTTCTATCGCAAATACAAATAAAGTTATAATTTTTTAAAGCGTACACGAACTTTATGGATACCCTATATATATATATATATATATATATATATATATATATATATATATATATATATATATAAAACACACCTGTGTGTGTATTCTGAAATAACTTATTTAAATATAACTCTTTATTTGTCAAATGAATTCCTGGAACGATTTCTTTACAAGCGAAGGTCTTATGCCGGAGGCTCTCCAGGAACAGTGCTATCAAGAGAAAATTCAATATATCTGAATAAATCCTATTCTTCAAATCATTGTCAAAAATGAGATGAACCGCCATTTTTAATCACGAACAATTTCGCCGAAAATATACTAAAAAAATATCTGTCAATCAAAAAAAAAAAAGGGAAAAAAAGCAATCATTTCAACAACATTTCTGGTATATTACGAGAAAAATAGGAAGAATTCTCATTTCTTTTTAAAAAAAAAAATGCTTTCTCTAGTCCGTTCCATATTCGACAGCATCATACACTCTTTATCTCTTCTCCATCCGTGATCGACCGACATATCCCGAAGACGAGACTCTCGTAGACGAGATTTTATAGTGAATCTTTTCATTTTTTTTTTTTTTTTTTTTGCAGGTAGATTAGTTTTTTGATGTTTTGGTTGCTTTTAGACAAACCATAAAATCAACGAATCATCCTAATCTGATATGACCTCTGTCACGATTCTAATCTGACGTCACCTCTCTCACGACAAAACAAGCTTCTGTTTTTACATACGAATAGCTCTATGTGTTTTTAATATAAATATTTAACAGGCATAATTTTTTTCCCTCAGTAGGAGTAGATATGCTCGCCTGTTGTCTGGTTAAGACTGCACCCAGGTCTTTCGAACAGAAACAGAGGTTTAGTCCTTGATTCTTGTTCAGGATTGGGTTTCCTGGTCCGTATAAAGTTTTTCTC